ATTCAGATGTGGGCAGCATCTGAGCTAAAGAAGCAGGTCAGAAAGTCGAAGAAAGCAGCAGCAGCAGCAGCAGCAGCAGGTCAGGGGACTTCTGAAATGCCCAGAGGAAGGGGCTGGGGGCATCAAAAGTAAGGATCATAATTGTTTACACAGGTCTGGAGTGAGAGACGCCTAACTGTATATGAAATCCAGAGGGTTCCGGTATATCCAACCTGCTTTACTGCTGATAGAGAGAAAAAGAAAAAACTCAGTTAAAAAAAAATGGAAGTAAGAGGATTTAGTCGGGGGGAGGTGGGGGGGAATTAAATACCCCCAGATTCAAGAAGGCACATAAATGAGAACTGATGGTTCTAACTAAAAATGTCTCATCTAGAGACACAGTACATGGAACATTGGTTGAGGTTTTTAGGTTGGAGAGGTTAGCGGTTGGCTAGGCGCTTCTATTGGATCATTGGATAGAAAGCATGCTGGTGATTGGCTTCAGGAGTAGTTACAGATATTTACAGTTAGAGCCATGTAGCCTTCAGGCGTAAAACATTATCTCAGTCAGCCATCTCAGGGGTGTGTAAAGAAATGCACTGCTGTGCCAGGATGCAGTTTCCCTCCATGACTTGTTAAGCAAAACTTTTCAACTGGTCTGAGGAACTTTAGATAAGGCTGGCTCCAAGGCCCTTTCAAGCAATTATCATATGTGCTCCTGTACAAGCCCAGTTTTTCAGCACTTTTTTAATTCCGTTTTTGTGGTAAAATTAGGTGCCTTGGCTAATATTCAGGTTGGCTTATACTCAAGTATATACATTATCTTAATTACAACTTTGCCATGAGAAAAAGATTCTTGTGGCCCACTTTATACATAAGATCTCTGTGTCAAGATTCCCTTACTGGGACTGTATTTCTCTCACACCTTAAAAGTTCAGCAGAAAGAGAAATTACCTTCTAGGTTTTATGGCTTCTATGGAGTAACATATCCCGACAGCGGATTGTGGGGGAAGTTTCTGCAACTAACCTTCCCAGGCTGGCAGATTGGTAAGGAACAGGTTAATTCAGCAAGAACTGAGTTAGATTCAACCCTCTATTTCGTCAGAGAGTTTTCAAGTTTCCCTTTGTACTGCCTTTCTTTCTCACCAACCTGGCTTCTCATGTGGAAGGAGCTTTCTTCCGGAACTGACGACCTCAGTCCTCATTCTCTACAGTATAAAGCATATTCTTTTCCTGAGCCCTGGTGCTGACACATTGTTCTCTGATCTCATGGTCAGCAGTTCGAAACCACCAGCAGGACCGAGGGAGAAACCGGTTCTTTCTCCTCCAGGACACGACGGTTACAGTCTCGGAAAGCCAAAGGGGGCTCGCTAGGAGTCAGGATGGGCTCAACGGCGCTGCGTTATTCTCTTCCTGTCGAGCCTTTTCCGTTTGTGTGTGTCCCCTGGCCCCGTGTCATTCACTCTTTGTTCCACACACTGCAGCTGCTGAAATTACAGTGATACCTCGGTTGTCGAACTCAGCTCACTCCAAATAATGGTCAAACACCAGAAAGTTTGAGAACTGAATGTATTTTCCCCGTAAGAAATCAGAGAAAACCAAATCATTGGTTCTGAGACCCCCACATTACTTATAAATTCACTCTGAAGGCTTTTAGCCTTCTCGCCGAGCACTGTCTTGGATACACTATCGCCATCCAGTGGGTTCTTACTTTATCCAAATTAACAGTAAGTTTTCAACCTCTTCTGAGGTCCAGGTTCTTTGTTGTCTGGTTAATGATTTCATATTGTATCTTTGGCTACATTAGCTGCTTTAATCACGTTTTCCCTAAAAAATGTTGATAATTTTAGTTTAGCCATGTTGCAGTCAGCTGCCAAGTCAGACAAACGATGACCTGATTCCCATTTCACCATGATTTCTTTCTTTAACTGGCTCCTGGTGCTCACAGTTTTCCTCTCAGCGTTACTGTGCAGGTCCCCCTCGCTGGCTTTGGCGCCACGGTTACGATATTTACATAGACAAAGCACCACAAGTGTGCTCATGCACTGACACAAGACAGTGAGCGGTGCCTAGACCAGAGCGTCACCCACGTGTGCCCGTGGCCAGATGTGGCACGTGACTCACGGCCACACAGGTTTTTTCAGGTCAGATTTTCGGTTTGATTACGAAACTACGTTATGAACAGCAAGCAGATTTTTTTTTTTAACTTTGCTGTTCAAGCCGTAGAAAGCTTGAACTTGTAGCTGTTTGCCAGCCAAGATATCACTGTATAAAATAGAACCGTATTTGATGTTGTTTGTGGTAGGGAGCAGGCACTACAATTGCTTGCCTTTGGCAAGGCCTTGCCCTGATACTCAAATCCCCACGTGCTGAGAAGAGTTTTAGGATTTGTCCTGGTGGGCAGCTTGACCGCTCTCTCATTCGATTCCCGATGTGTCCACACTATTTAACTAGATCTTCCTACACCAGTGTATTATATTCACCAATAAGCCCTTCCTATAACCACATAGCCACCTTGGTCATAAACACTCTGAGATGTTATATCTAAACATACCTTTATAGGAACTTTTCCTGCTGGCAATGAATACGAAGAAAAAAAAACAGTAATAAAAAGCCACAATTAGGTACCAAAAGAAGCCATTCTGTATGTTTACCAAGCATATCTCCTGCCCAAATATGTTTATAAATGTAAAGGAGAAATTTCAGTGAAAAATCCTACAGGGCCTCCTCCTAGCTCTGAGACTCTGATTCTAGGAATAAACACTGTTCTCCCCAGGATGTGGACTCGAGCTCATTGTCTAAAACCAGGTTTTTAGATAGACTTATAAATAATAAGTAAGTTAATCTCAGCACAATACAGTGTAGTTTTCATCAAGGGAAAGGAAAGTTCTGTTAGGCAGTTTAAGAATTTGTGTGTTACAGATTGTCCAGACAAGGCAGGAAAGGGCAGTGTTCTCACAATGTACTAACACATTGATTTCTTCCTTAAAACCAGTGGGATTCATTCCTCTGGATGTGAGGACCAGTGGCTACTCTAGGAAAGCTTCTCTGGTGTCCATCAAGTCCCCGGAGGCATTAGCAGCGTGAAGGGGTGGACCTTCTACAAGGTGATCCTGGGCTTAGCAGCTCTCCTGAGTGCTGAGCTAGGCGCACAGTTTTAAGAAGCATCCTGAGCTCTGCTATGAACCCGTAGAGTGTCTCTCATTATAATGCTTATGGGAAGCCCCCACTGGCGACTTGGATTCCTTTGTTTGAAATGACAGCGTGAAAATACTGGTCTGTAGCATTTTACACCCGGGCTTCTTAAAGGAACATAGTAATTAAGCTTGTACCACAATCACCCTCAAAGGATTTGCAGACATTGTGTCCTCACCCAGCAGCAAAGCCCCTGCCTCCCTCTGTGCTTCTCTTGCTCAGCCCTGTCTCCCTTCCTCCCGACACCCATCTCTGTGGTCGAGGGTGCTTGTTGGGGTTTTTTGCTGCAGCCCCAGCCTATTCCACCCAAAGGGTCTGAGAGGAAAAAAGGAAAGGCATAATTCACAACGGTTCATTTTCTTCCTTTTGTTTCCTTGTGAGAAGGCAGAGTCCCAAACATATCATAGCACTATTAAATTCTTTGTCCTTTCATTGTCACCTCTCAGCCAAAAATAATCAGTCATTGATAGACACTAAGCGACACAAATTTTAAGTCTATGACCTATATGGACAAAAGCCAGGTTTGCTTTGACTGTAGTCATTGCTGTACAAGGAGGTTTTCTTTGTTTCCTTTCTGCCCTTCTTTCTCTTGGTGTGTAGATATTTCCTGTCATTTCAGTGTGCCGATGTGGTAGTCCAGGGAGACTAGAGAAACAAATCCAGGGAGACTCATATGTACAGGAAAGAGCTGTACATCAAAGAAGAATTAGATATGAAGAAAACATCTCAGCCCAGTTCAGATCAAGCCCATAAGTTCGATATTAGCCCATAAGTTCAGTATTAGCCCATGAATTCCTCTTCAGACTTGCACAGCACATGCAATGATGTCGAATGCAGGAAGATCATAGGCCATTAGGTGGAAAGTCCTGTGGATCCAGTGGTGGTGGACACATCTCCAGGGCTCTGGCTGCCATCAGCGTGGCTCCATGTGGCTTGTCAACAGGAATGTGAAGCAGAGAGAGAGTGTGTCCTACCTCCAGGGAGGAAGTCCCAGAATCCTCGTGATAAGGCCATGCCCACAAAGAAGGATCACCGGGTTGTGAACTGATTGACAGGCTAGACTCCACCCCTTTGTTCTTATTTATCAAGCTGACATGAAATCGTGTAACTACCACAGCCCAGTTCCACTAGTCAGATCTTCTGAAGGATGACTTCCAGAGCTGGCCTCTCACATAATTATTTTAGTCAGCAGATAGTCTCCGGAGATGGAGAACGTTCAATTAATGGTTTAAAACTAAACTATTTAAGAGGAACAATGACAATTTCAAGAACTGGCATTCCGAGAGGGGTGGGAAAGCATTTTGCATTTATTTTGCACGATAGTGACCTCCACAGGGCTGTCATTGTAACTAAACTTCCTATTGGTGGAGTGACGTGTGCCTTTGGTTGGTGACAGAGTCTCCTTATGTCGAGGATGTTCTTTTGCTCTGGGTTGATCGTCTGGTCCTTTTCCTTTCTCTCTCTCTCTCTCCCAGTTCTTTGTTGCCTAAAATTACGTTTTACGACAGTTAAAAAGAAAATAAGCCATGACCACTTTGAATCACTAAGAACACAAAGTATCCATGTGGAGTATGACGAGGTACCACTTGTTTCCAGTCAGAGGTGCCCGGGTCTGTGTCACGGAACTCCACTGAGGACGTGGCTCACTTAATCTTGAACACCTATGGCTACCTTTCCAGCCATTCTAGCTCCACCACCATTCACAAGAGCCTAAAAACCAGTGCAGTGTAGTAGTTGTGCCCTATTTATGGTATAAGCCATTATGTCACAATAGAATCAGTTAAACAATTCTTTTTCTCTTTTTATGCACTACTTGACATCAAAAGCAAAAAGAGGTAAGTTCGCTATGAACCTATAGGAGAATCTTATTTCCTTTAATAGTTTTTTTCTCAAATAACTTTGCTTCATTTAGTTGATTATCCATCAAATATTTTTTTCCCATCAAGTATTTTAACTTAGGAAGCTTGTTATTATAAATCCTTCACTTCTTGAAGATGAGTAAGCACTTTCTGTGAACTTGGATTTTGAAAATATTTAACATATTGCTTTTCCTTTAACTGGAGTTATCATTATGGTTTAACTTACTTATGAAGACATAATACATTTTAAAATACTTTGTTTAGTTTGAGGGTGTCAGATTTTTCCCCCAAAAAATGTGGTTTCCATACAGGTTGTAAATATTCTTTTTTTTAAAACAAACAATGAGCCAGGCCAAAATTACATATTTACTGCTACAGAAGAGGATGTTATTAACCTCTTGGGCACTTTTTAGGGTCAAATATTTTTTTGAAGTGATAAGAAATTATCAAAAATATTAAGAACATTAAACACATTTTGCTGAATGTCATATTTTTCATGTTTTGGTCGCAATTTTGATCATCGATCTCTTTAGCGAACACTTCTCTTCAGTTTGTGTAACTTTGGTTTCCTTTTGAAGAATTCATCTGACATTTCCAAGAACTAGCTGGTCTTCATTTGATATGCACTATTTTTGACAGTGCTGTACCAGGTGGTACTGTTCTTCCAAAAGTCACTTCTTGTTGATTGTGAATTTCTGGCAGCAAAATGTACTTTTACCTCTTGGTGCCACTGTGTTTGATCACCTGTCCTCACGGCTTTTCCGAGCACCTATGGGCGTCACACAGATGTAGGCGGCTTCACTGTACACCGTCCAGAAGTGGAAAGCTGAAGGTCCTGTAGGGCGCTTTTATAACTCTCTTTGCAAGATCTGAAACCAAAACAGATTTTTTCCTAAGAATGTTGCTTTGTTTTATCAGCTGTTCATATTTATCAGGACAACAAGTGGGAAGCTAAGTGAACATTTTTGTCCATTGTGTACTCACTGAAAAGGCTGCACATGCGCCCGGCTTCTCTGCAAGCCCAGCTCTGACTCGGCATTGTTGAAGACAGTTTTCATGTTTGTCACCAAAGTATGAGACGCAATTGTCATTTGTGTGAAGGCGGAGCGAGACGCTTTTTAAGATTTGCCATGGGGTCCTTATTTTTGTATGTTCTGTATTGAGAATTTTTTCATATGTTTCAACCATTCTGTCCTTGGGAAAATTTTAATGAACAAAGATTGTTTCTGCCTATCAATAGTACAAACAAAAGTGGTATTTACTTTGCTAAACACTGATGTAAACATGAGACTGAAGTGTATGATGATATATTTGTACATGTATATATGAATGAATTATGAATTAGATTACACACCCGAGAAATTGCAGATTCTGCTATAGTCATATCCCTTCCAGAGAACTGGATGAATGGGGTATGTAGAATGGACAAAAAGGGCTAAGATAGTCAACTCTATTGTGTTCTATTATAAAATGCTAAGTGCTGTTCACGGTTCTCCATTTTGTTGTCAATACGTCATTAAATTCATCTTTTAATTTTAAAAAAATTCAGCTTTACCTAACTATTGTTAATATTTATGGAAATATTTTGATCCCATTTTCTTGTTTTTTAATATAATATTTCTGTCTTAGTTTTTCAGTTACGTATGTAAGAATCTCTGGGAATAGTTCAATGTTCAAGTTGTTACTACAAAAAGAGTGTAATTTGATGCTGATTTCCTTTAACTTTTGTGTTAATTTACTAACACTATTAATCATTTTGTAGATTTAGTGAGGAATAATTTAGTATTAATCTTATTTGGCATACACTAAATAATGGAAATGTAAAAAAACAATATAATCAGGTATACTTTGCTTTAAAAATTAATTTTCAGATGACTTTATGCTTCAAAGTCTTATGGTTATCAGAGAAGAATGATTATGGTACTCATTTAGTATCACTAAAACCACTTTTTAAATCTGTATCGAACGTTTCCTCTTCTGTTATTGGAAGGATATTCTGAGGATGAGATAAATGTATGTGTTAGAAACTTCCCTTTTCCCCAGACAACTGATCAAAGGATGAGAATGAATGAAGTTATAATAAAGAAACAAATCTAAGAAGATAAAGCCCATATATCAACAAGTGTTTTCCACCCCATGGATGTTTCTAAGCAAATGTCCGTGGGGAACAAGCCTCGGCTGGGTCCTCCCGGCTCTCCAGGAGCTGTGTGGCTTGCAAGGAGAAGAGCTGTCACAAGTTGTGTCGAAGGCATGCTTGCAGAGAGAAGATACATGCGAAGGGGGTTTGGAGGAAGCAGATGTTTCCTTCTGGAATGGTCAGGGATAGAAGCAGAACCATGTTTCTGAGCAGTCAAAGAGAGCAAGCATTTTGTATTGAAATCATAGGAGCAAAGGCTTGCTGAAATCAGTTCATCATTTTGGCCTTTCTCATTTCATCCTGATTAACAGCATTGACTCTCTTTCTGGAAGCTGAAGACCAAGGTCATCCCAACTCCTTTCCTCCCTTTGTCCCTCCTTTCCAGTCTGTTTCTGATGGTGGACTCCTGGCTAGAAGCTTTCGTATTCTCTACCCACCCATCCCCACCCCTTGCACGACTGGCGTTTCACAACTCATTTAACTGATAGAAAAACTGAGGCTCTGGATGGTGAGAGCATCTTTAATGGCCCTCAGCTTCTGGCTGGCAGAACTGGGATTCAAAGCCAAATTGGGATTCTGACTGGACTCTTAAGTCCCATGTTGAAAGGAGAGGAAAGGGCATAGAGAGGAAGACAAAGAAATCTCTCTCGAAGCATTCCAAGAAAATGTAAGGAAGTGGAATAAAAACAGTAAGGAAGTGCCCATGGTGTGCCTCTTATACAGCCTAATGGATTTACGACTGTGGGTACAACTTTCCCTTAAGACCTGAGTGTATCCATAAGTGTGTCAGTAAGAAAGTTACAACTATTTACCACTATTCAGAATTCCTGAGTTGGGAACCTGACTATAAACACCCAATTGTTCTGCCTTCAATTCAGTGTACGATACATAGAAACTTATATTTTCTATTAATTATCAAATTTCACATTCCATCACTAGTTTAGTTCTGCAATGTTAATTGGGCCAGTTTAATGGCTCTCTAAAATGACTTTTGCTAAGAAAGTTTAAAGGATTCCCTGGTGGTGTGGCAGTTACGCATTGGGCTGAGAACCACAAGGTTAGCTGTTCGAAATCACCAGCTGTTCCTCAGGAGAAAGATGGGCTTTGTACTACCATAAAGAGTTCATCTTGGGAACCCACAAGGGCCATTCTACCCTGTCCTGTGTGGCCCTTATAAGACAGTATCAACTCCATAGCAGTGAGAAGGAAGTTTATGCTGAAATTCAGGTGTACCTTTTCATTCAGAATTTAAGCTCTTGGCCCATGATATGAGGGGGTACAAAAAAAAAAAAAAAGAAATATTTTTACAAAAGAACCTTATCACCTGCAAAGTACTCTCTATTATGCTTAATATATTTGTCAAATCTATTATTCCATTCTTGGAAACATTTTTCAAACTCATCTTTGGATGGCTGACAGCACCTCCCTCATTTTTTCTTTACCTCTTGTTGTCAAATCGCTGTCCTTTCATGTCCTTTGTCATTTGAGGAAACAAAAAGAAGTTGCACAGAGTGAGATCAGGTGAGTCAGGTGTGTGGGGCAAGAGAGGCATGCTGTTTTTTGCCCAAAACTGGTGCACTGAGACCAGTCCTCCATCTGCCACAAATCAAGCCTTTTTTGTTGCACACTGTTAGGCAATCTTTTCAGAACCTCTAAATAGAAAGTTTGATTAACAGTCTGATCTGGTGGAATGAACTCCAAATGCACTACGAGTTGACATTTTCATCCGTTCAGGAAGTTGATGGACATCCAGAACGAGGGTTGTCATCAGTCGACATTTCATCTTCTTTTGAAATGAGAAAACCACTTGTACACTTGAGTTTTTCCCATAGCACTGTCCTTGTAAGTGGTGTTCAATATAACAGTTTCTGTGGCATTTTTCCTGAGCAGGAAACAAAATTTCAGAGCCGCATGCCATTCTCTTAAATCAGCCATCACAAAAACAAGGTTGGAGCAAAACTGCTTTCACAAAAAAATTCACGGTGACTAGAGAGAATCTTCCAAGGGGACGCCACTGGGCGCACTGACTCAGAGTAGGTTGCTTGATGCAGTCCTTAGTGGGGGGAAGTGTGTACTATGAAAGCTCCGCTCCACCCAGCGCAATTCTGGGTTGTTTTTTTTAGTGCCCCCTTGTATATCTTCTTTGATCTTCCCTGAATCCAAACATTAAACTGCTTAATGTTTAGAGAGAATTAGGTAAACGGGAGCTGTTCTTGGTTTATGTAGCCTCTGGAGCAGATACAAAAGCTCCATTGGATGACCCACTGAAAGGACATAGGACAAATAGAGCTCACTGGTCGCCTGGCCACACTAAACAATTCATTTGACTCTTGAGATTCTCCGTTGACTCACTGGTGAAAGAGGGAATAGGACAACAAACCTCTGTTGGGTTTGGTGGAATGAAACGTAGTTTCTTCACTGTAAAGGTCATAGAACACATGGCCCTTCATGTACTCCTTAGCCTCCCTATTCATCAGTTTCTTTTTGTACGTTGAAAGTAAGACCTACCTCATTGGTTTTTAAAGAATTAGAGAGTTACTGCATGCTAAGTGAGTAACTCAGGATGTGTAGCCTATATCACACGTCATGAATGTTGCATATTATCGTTCCTCTCCATCTTTTACTCTTCCTCCTCCATCTCTCCTCTTGACCCTCACCCTTCAGCCCATTCCCCCAAGTCCCAGTTCACTTGGAAGAAAATGGTCAGATTTGCTGGAAATAAAAGAGGGCTCTCTTTTCCCTCCTTCAAGGACACAGATGAGGATGGCTCTAAGCTTTGATCATAGATTGTTGGTTCTAGGACCGTCAACAAGTATGTGTCAACTCTTTACCAACATTCCTAGCGAAAGACTCTTCCTCTTCTAAGTGTTGATCACTTGAAAGTATTGAAAGTTATGGACCATTTGTTTCAAGATGTTTTGGTCCAAATGTTATCTATTTGTAAATAACAGCAGGTTGATAATTAACGACTGCATTTGTGGATTGATTTCATTATTAAACATATCTTTCCTGATATAGTCCTGGGCATAGTACACCAAGTGACCTAAGTTAACTAAGACAATAACTAAATGTTTCAACAAGAGGCGTTGTGCTTGTTGCCCATGAACTTTTCACTTCTCCTGTTATTCTGTTTATGAATGGCCATTTTCGAGAGGGAAAAGGAAAGGCCGCCTCTCTTTCCTCCTCACTTTGCTTGTTGGAGAAAAGATGTTTAAAGCAAGCAAACAAACTGTGGAGTTACGGCAGATTGAGTTATGGAAGAGAGGTGCCCAGGGTAAAATAGAACCTGGAAGTGAGCACCGTAGATGCCCGGGTATGTCTGCAAAGCAGGGCTGTGGAAATGTGCTTTTATATGATCTGAATTCATCGAGAATGATTTGTGCCACATCACCCTCACTCTCCATCTCATGACATCAGAGAACAAGTAACATAATGTATCTGAACCTTGACAACCAACAATAGTTACCAACCAGGTATTTCATAGTACTTTTCAAGCAGGGAAGTCGTCCCTAGATAATGAATATAGTTGTCTTTGTAACTGGCCGGATGATGTGTTCTGCCTTCCGGAGAACATTGGGCACCAAGGAAGTCACCCCAGTAGCTCCCCCACTCATCCTGGCTGGGTGTGGTTTCTCCACCAGTCAGCTTCACCCACACTGCCATCAGTTTAACCAACGGAAGTTCTTGAAGCACCATTCTAATGCCATGTTCTGGGCTTGTTCTGGGTTGGAGAGGTCATGAAAATGTTTTAAAGAGGGTGGGGAGGGTGCGGGGAGACACTCATGATGCAGTAGACTATGTTGTATTCTCCATTATTTAAAAAATGCTTGCTTCCTCATCATTTAGGCGTGTTGGTGAGATTTAAATACCCAATGTGAAGTCTCTTAGAAATTATTTCATGTTGATTCAGCAAGTCTTATCCTTCTTTGTTTCTCCTCTTCTTTTGTACCCTTCAGCAAGTCTTATCCTTCTTTGTTTCTCCTCTTCTTTTGTACCCTTCCCCTACTTGAGGCTTTTGGGTATGGAAGACTGTCCTACAGGCATACTCTGCATGAATATATCGAGACAGCTAGCTTTAGCTGCAAAGGATCCTTATTTAGCTTTGCCTGGGAGGCTCCCACCAGCTCTTGACTGTCTTTCTGTGACACTTCTCAAGCAGGCTGCCTTAGAACACAGACGTTCCATGTGGCATAAATGTTGTGAACATTTCAAGTACCTACCTCAATTAATTTGATGATGAAACATTTTCTTAATACTAGGAGAGCCCACAAACGGTTTATAGTTAGCTAAGTTCTTTCTTGGTTACTCCTTACACTTTAGATGTCAGCCTTGGTGTCACCACCTCCAGGAAATAGTCCAAGATCACTTTAAGTGTCTCCGCTCCGAGTTCCCATAGTCCCCTGCAGTCTCCCGATCATGGGAACGGCAGCACAGTCATGTGTCAGTCAGGTACGTTCAGCCTCTGGATCACACAGTCCTGGGTTCAAACACCCGCTCTACCTCTTAGTGGACTTGGGCAAGTTACTTAATCGACAGCCCCCTTTCCAAAATGAGATGAATAAAACCGGATTCAAGGCGATCATGCTTACTAAGTGCCTACACGGTGAATGGCACCTGGTAAAACGAAAGAAGTGCTAGATGCTGTGTCATGGTCTTCGTCATCACCCCCCCACCCCCACTATTGTAACTGCATATTGAATGTACTTGCCTCCCACCGTCCAGCATTCGTTGCATGAGACAGGGACATCTCAGCTCTGTTCTCCTTTTGGCTAAGTAGCTTAGATCATTGCTGCACAGAGCCAAGGGTTTCACACCGTGGCTGTTGAGTGGTTGTGATGAATTCCTGTGGCCCAGCAGTCAGCTGCGATTCTGCACGCCTTCTCCTCCACTCACATGATTGTTGGGTTTCGTGCCCCAGAAAGCACTCTGAAGCCAAGTTCTTGAGAGTGCGCCTAGGAGAGTAGATCCTGCCCAGAGCAGGAATGGAGCTCTCCTCTGAGCTTGGACTGTCCCGGTCCCCTGACACATCCCCTTACTTTTCTAAGTGCGTGCTAATGGACATAATCTGTGCAGGCAGTGAGGATCGGAGGGCTGAAGCTTGTCAAAGAGGGGTTTGCAAGACCATTGACTCGGACCCATGAAGCTGTTTTTTAAACTCAATTTTTAAAAAACCGATCACTACCTGAACTATGGAATTAGATTTTTTATTCTTAATGATAACATTTGGTTCTGATCACCTGCTCTCTAAATTTACTGACCACAGATATGTTTAATAAATAATTTATGACTGCATTGGCAAAACGTATTTCTAGTAGAATCGAGGTATTAAAAAGTAAGATGTAAGGTATTTAAATACTCTAATTACTCCTAATTAGCAGCATGGTAATGGTCCTCAGAGGCCCACCTGCTGTGTTAGAAGAGCTTCACTTACACCTCCTTGACAAGGTCAGACTCTAGAGGTCATGTTCATTTGCATCCATTGCATTTCCCCAAGTCCACCACAGGAGGGGAGCACACACCAGGTTAACTAAAAGAAAAGCTCACTCCCTTCAGCTAGGAATGCTGGTGGAAAAGATACAGGATACAAACGACAAACTGCAAAGTGGGAAAATAAGCCATTAAAAAAGAGATAATTCCCCAAATCTGTGAAAACTATTACAAGGATCTGTTAACCTCTGAGAGACTTTTCCTGAGTTCTGTAATCTGAACACCAGTGACTCAGAGAATCAAATCTCAACAAAGATCATCTTGTAAAGGGGGCTTCTTGTCGTGTATTAGAACATCAATGAGAACGTCCATGCATTTCCAATGTATTCTATGAAACAATCAGCCATTTTCATGAATGTTTGGTAGTTCTAGTTAAGTCAATATGCCACCAAAGTTCTCTTAGGGAGAAAAAAAAAGTCCAAATAAAGCCAGTGGCTTCTCACAGAATCTTCTGGGCCATTTATTTTCAAGGCCAAAGTGTTTAGCTCCGGTATGGCAACTGTTATTTGGAATCTTAAAGGGATCTTGATAGATTTTCTCAAAGGACCCTGGGTGATTGTGGGGCTCTGGAGGAAATGGAAATTTGAGTTGATACAGACAAGGCCAGGACGGTGCACCAGCTCATTCCTCAGAGGCACCGAGGGCCGCTCTCCAAGGATTCCGTGGGGGAACCGTCCCCATCCATCCGACAGACCTGATCTTGTCCCTTCAGACTTCTTTTTATTCCAAAAGTGTAAAGACTGTTGAAAGGGAACACGGTTTGGGTCCATGGAGGATGCAAACACTGTCCTTTTGACGTGGTGTATACAGCTCGAGGCACAGGGAAGGTCCCAGGGAAGGCTTGGGGAGCGGAAGCCCTGCCCACCCGCCTTCCGACAGATGTCCAGCTAGATGGGGGAGATGTGGAGAAGCCCTAGCCACACAGTGTGAGGTTTCTGTGGACTAACGATTTCTGTGACTTTCATAGCAACACCTTTTGACTTACGGCCTCAGTGACTCGTTTACATGTTTGCAAACGAGTCTGACCAAGCATGTCTTAAGGTACTCGAGAGACCCTGTGACAAATATTCACGTGGCTGATTTTTGTAGTATCATATTTAAATAAGGGAAAAAATAACGTCTTTTCAATGGACATCAGGAAGGAAAAGGAAACGCTCAAGATGTAAGATGTTTCATTGTGAATGACTATTCCTCACTAAATCTCAGACAACTGCTGTAGGCTTTATACTGTTACTAACACCGTGGGCTGTCATCTCTTTGTATATATGTCTAATTTATCAGTTTCTTGTAGATTGTCAGCAGCCTGCTGCCTCCGTACCGCCACAGTGCTCACAACTAGCCGGGAGGCAAGACTGCCCGACTGTCAGGTAAATTCGGACGTCTTTCTCTTCTCATCCAAGTGCATGTCAGACCCATAAACTCCACATTATCTCTTCTGATGGCACCCTCACGCCTTAAGTATCATTGTATGTGACTACATCTCATTCCAATCGTGAGCTTTGGAAACACATGCCCTCCAGCCCTAGGTCCACATGGGCCATGGGGAATGCAGCATAATGAGAGCTGATTTCACGGGCCCTGAGACTGGAGGCTGGCTTCAGCCCTCTGGTGGAAGCCCACAATTGTTTTCCTTCATCACCCTGTTGCCTTCCAAACTCTCCACTCATTTGGATGTTTGCCATATTTTCCTTTTTCTTTTGACTTCTATTCTGAGCCTCTATGTTGCAGTACACAAACTAGAAGATTATGAAGCATAACTCATGCCTGCTCCAGGACGACATTATTGATGTCGTCTATTTCTATTTCTATTGATGTCCTTTCTATTTCTTCTTCACGCTGTACTCTCATCAAACTGGAGATGTGTGTCCCGATGCTATAGTTAGGAACCCAGCACCTAACCCACAGGGCCACCAGGCTGAATATAAATCTAGCACCTAAAGTATGAAGACTTGAATAAATGGTAGTTGGGGATTATTGCTTCCCATCTGCAGAATTTCTGCAAAAATATCATCGTTATAACCATCCAAGTCAAAGAGAAAAGGCATTTTCCTCCCCTATTTATTTGCAAGTTAGTTCTCTGAATACTAAGTGAAATACTAATTTACTAACAGTGTGCAATACTAATACAAGCCAATAGTGCAATGAAGATCTGAAGTAATTTTCAACTGATTTCGTTCCTAATTTATAACTTTAAAATGCTTATGGTGTTTCCTAGCAGAAGTAAATAGTATTATATCATTTTCAAGAGTTCTTCCACCATAATACAGTGGTGTATGAAATTAAAAATAAATAACCACATTTGAAAAATATGTTAATAGAGTTTAAACAGACTGTTGAATGGGAAATTCCCAACCATTTGACTTGAAGTATGCTATACATATTTTGTATTTATGTTATGATATATCATAACAGCAAGTATAATATCATAATAGCTACCATCTCCTGAACGCTAGCATTGGACTAGAGGTCTAATATGTTCGAATATTTGTTACTCAAACACAAAAGACACCTATGAACTATGATTATTTCCTTTTACAAATGAAAATACAGAGGCTCACAAAAGTCAGCTCGTGCTCAAGATCCCCAAACTTGTAATAGTAGAGACGGAATCCCATCCCGCGCTAACCTGTGCTCCTGTCCCCCGGGTGAGGCAGTCGCGAGCAGGACAGGTCGCACATATAAATAAAAGAAAGCATTACAGCTCAAGTACTGCAAAACTCACTGTGTACTCAAAGGTTCCCTCTATGATTTCTTGAAGGTTCTAAAGACACATTTGGTTCTCCCTTGGGGAATCTCTGAATAGTTTACGTAAAATATTCTTAATATATACACCACAACACAGCAGATATGAGGATTTCAGTGGAGGTGCTAAAGGCCTATTCTTTCCAAACGGAACTGTAAGTGGATACTTTTGAATTCTGGGAAGCCTTCCAAATCATCACGAACTTACCCCCATCCCGGGCCCACTTCCATGTAGCATCCGACCCTGTTAAGAGTGCTTCATCCTTGCGGCTTGCTTTATTTACCCGGCTTCTGTGGCCTCTGAGGGTGCCAGGTTTTTATAGCCTGGTTGTAGTTTTTAACAAAGCTCCCTGCGTGGTGCAAGTGGTTGACACTCAATACTGGCCTGAAGTTTGGTTGTTCGAACCCACCCAGTGATGCCATAGAAGAAGGGCCTGGTGATCTGTTTGCATAAAAACTGCAGCCAAGAAAAACCCCAAGGAGGAGTTCTCTCTGTCAGAGGCTGCTCTACAGCAACAGCTTGGTTTTACAGTCTGCTCACTTCTCTCTTCTTGTTTTAATATATCTGTTGCTCTTCTACCAGGGTAAGACTTCTCCTTCTTTAAGGCTACTTTTGAGTAGATGCGGGCCCAACATATTGCAGTGCATGTCCAAGGAGTGGGTGTCAGCAGCAGGCTCCATGGGGTCACTGGTGGAGTGAAGGCGATCTGGAGAGAGACAATTGCAGAACATAATGGCAGCCAAGGTCCAAGTTTGACTTTATCTCTGAGGCCACTGGACAGTCAGCTGTTGTATCGGCCGGGTTGTCTGGAGAAACAAAACCAGTCAGTGACATGCATGTATGTTTAAGAAACCGCTTTATATCAAGAAGTCTCCTTACATCAAGAAATGTGGGGGTAGCCAGCCCCCCACAACTAATCGCGGTTCACTAGGTACAATCCTATGGTTAAGATATATAAAGATTATAATAAAATCATAGAGAATTGGAGAGACAGGAGAGAGAGTAACAAAGAAGTCAGGCACATTTCATGGTAGCATGCTCACTTCAGCTCCTCATGGTGGTACACGTGGAGACGGGAGACGAGCAGGCAGGAGAGAAAGCATGAGGCTTTATTTCTAACCAAAGCTTATATATCTTTGGGGGCATTCAAGACCCCTGATTACAGATAACAATCTACATCATAGGAAGGGGCTGTAACATAAGCAATACAAACAATGGGGGGATGACCGAGGGGTGTGCACGCAATAGGAGAGGGAGGGAGGGAATAGGGGGTACATATGTGGCAAGACTGGCGGACCCTAGACTCAATACAGTAGCCTAAGCTTAGTCATCCTTGAGTGATCCCGGCTTGCCTTCAGGCACTCCTTCAAGGAAACAATATCAGAAGGGAGTGGGCCCTATTTAGGTTGAGTCAGGCCCTACTACTTATCCAGTCTGGTTGCTCTGGATGGCTGATACCCTTAAGGAGAATAACCTCTGACCTACTTCTGTTAACCTCCTCGTGTACAGTCATTTACCATGTGAAGCAAGCAACACCTTGGGTTTGGCATATATTGGGGGGAGACAACTTGGGAGAAATCTTTCTATATGCCACAAAGAAGTCATCCTAGCCCAGTCCATCTCAATCCATAAGTCGGATGCTGGCCGGGGCCCTTTTCAGACTCAAATAGCTGCAGGCTGATGACATACAAAGGTGGAGTGGGACACAGGAAGATCCGAGGCCGGTAGGTGCCACGTCACGTGGATCCAAAGTCGGTGGAAACATGGCAGGCGCCCACCGTGCTCAGAGTTGACCAGTCTTCCTGGGGCCTGCTTCTGGAGGGAGGCAGAATCTCAGCAAGTAGGAAGGTGAAAGGGGTGGGGGAAGAAGGGCTTTCCCAGTTTCTCCCTTATAAAAATGCCCCACCTCCAGGAGCACGCCATCAGGTTCTGACCTCATTGACAGGTTAGAGTTCACACAGGGTCAAGTTGAAGTGACATCAAACTGCCACAGCTGTGTAATGGGAATATCAAGTCTGCAGGAAAAGGTGCAGGACAGAATAGGCTTGTGTCTCTTGTTGGTTAGCCTCAGTCTGCACTGCTGACCACGTCCTGTAACAAGGTTTTTATTTCAGGAAGATAACTTGCTAACATTCTCGTACCATCTTATTAAAGTAGCCATTTGTATGGTACTTTAATTATGTCAGTTATTGGTTATGCTTATTCCAACCCATCTAGTAGGATGCATCATAGGGAGTCGTTAAGCACCTGGGCTCTTAGTCCTGTATCCCTTCTCTGCAGCACAGCCCCACGTGCCTGCTGTTAGTTCCCATCCACTTGAGTTCAACTCGGGGTGAGCCCGTGTGCAGAGGAGACCGGCGTCCTGTGGGGCTTTCAGTGTCCACTTTCTCTGAAGTCCATCACAGTCCCTTCTTCCAAGGCACTTCTGGGTGGATTTTAACCTCCACCCTTTTGGTTGGCAGCTGATCGTGTCCAGTTTGCACCAGGCAGGGATTCCCAATGCCTATTAGCTGCTCTTCCGCCTACTGACCCTCAAGACGAAGGGCTGCAATCTGGCCCGTCCCCTCTATCATTTGCTTGAGCAAACGGCAGAGAAGGCGATTATTCTAAGCGTTTTGATTAGATACGAAATGGAAGGGTTTTGCCGAAAAGTTTTAGCAGTTGATTTCACCTTTTGTCTCCCGGCCACCCCTAACCGGTTTGATTACAGTGGGTACAAAGACCAGTTCCAGCTCATCTGAGATTACTGAGGTTAGATTGTGTGCCACCGCCACAGAGATGCTTTACTGTATAGAAAACCAGGTGGATGAACCGCAAATGTTTCTAGTTTCTCCCCACCTGATGCAGCATGGTTCAGAGCAGGCGTCCCGGTTACCCATGTGGGTGCACACCAAGAAATGATAAGTCTCTAACCACACACTCCTTTTAAAAGTCCCACCCGGCCCACTCCCAAACGGATGCCCGTTAAAGCTTTCCTTGCCCTTTTTGCTTCTTTCTAGCGCAAATGCTAACACGTAACCAACCTTAGAAAGCTTACTATGTACAAGAGTGGAGAGTAAGCATTCTCACCTTCAGTAAGGAGAGCACTATTATTATACCCATTTTTAAAAGGAGGAAACAGAGGTTTAGGGAGGTCAAACAATATTGCAGGGCCATATAGCTAGACAGCAGGGAGCCGACACACATTCTTCTATCAACCACCACTTGGAGGAAGAGCCAAGCAGCAGCATATTTAAATCATCCATGTTGCCGCTTTCTTTCTGACATGAAAAGGCATTTTTGTTAAACTTGAGATGTAAAACCAGCTAAGAATGCTGAGTGGTTTCTGATGAAATGGTTTTCAGTTTTACATGCTCTATCTGCTACAAGTAACCTCTAAAATGGCAACAGCTGAAAAGTAAGAGGGCCATCAGAATTGAAACTGAATTTATACTATATGGTAAAGCTTATCAAATGTTTACATTCAAGAAATAATGTCTTAACTGATCAGCCAAGAAGCTATGTGAAAAAAGAAAAAGATATGTGATGCATATTATGAACGTGTATCGTATGATTGCATTTTATGCAAATATAAAATAATGGCCTCCTAAAATATTTATGATCACCCATTTTATGTAGGAAATCTAAAATAATGAAAAAAATGTAGTCATCATCAATGACATGCAATCAAGGTGTTGGGCCAAGTGGGTTCGATCTGTGTTCGAGTTATTGCTCTACACTTCAGTGAGTCGATCACAAGTATTTGGTTTCCTTGTCCAAAAGGTCTTGAATTATATCACGTCATCATAAAATATCTGTGCAGTATAATGTGATTGCCCATTTCTTGTCATACTGATATTGAATAATGCATTTCACACCCTAAAGAGGAAACAGTCCTAAACGATGTCTTTTTCCAGAAAGACACTGGGTTGGGCTGTGTGCAAAGCAAGTCTGCTGGCGCCGTCACCTGCTGTGTTGCGCGGCCACGGGTTCTTTCTGGGGCCAAACATGTATCTTCTCGCGCAGATGTTAAAGTCTTTTTGCTGGAGCTCCGGTTATCTCATATTTATCTACCATATTTTAAAAACAACTTGGAAAAAATCATTTTTATCACAAGCTATCCTAATAATACAGAACAGACCTCCCCCCCCCGCCCTTGTATTAAATTGGTAATAAACTCATTGCCAACGAGCCCATTCCGACGCATAGCAACACTATAGGGCAGAGCAGAATTGCCCTTGTGGATTTCCAAGACGAACTTGTGATGGGAGTTGGAAGCCTCATCTTCCTTTCCCGGAGTGGCTGGTGGTAAGTGTGTGAAGTGGGCCTGAGAACCTGCCTTTCTCAGGAGCCCCTGTGGTGCTGATACACAGACAGAGGCTCTGAGGATTCTGCGTTGGCTGGCCCATTTCACACACTTAGCACTCCCTGGGAGGCTTTGTTAGAACAGACGGAAGGAAATGCTGCAGTTGAACACTGTAGACTTGTAGAAGGAGTTGGTGCCAAAAAATGGACAATGGGAAAAGCATTCCTCTACCATTTCCTTAATTAGTTGCATTTTTCTAGTTTGCACGTTGTTTGTTTTGAAAAGTTGAAGTTGCCTTGGCATTTCAACTATTTTCTGTGCAAAATTCCCTTTGTTGTTTTTTTTTTTAATGTATGAGGAAATTTATCATCTGATCCTTTCGAGTGTGCCTGGCTCTTGCCAGCGTGCGTCTTGCTGACTGGCTTGTTTCTCATTTGCAGTCCTGATGTAGCGCTCCCCGAGGAAGAACCACATTCCAGCCCCCAGTGCGCTCCTCTCCACTGTCTCTCCAAGCCCCCCTGCCCCAGCTCTCCATCACCCGGGCACGAACACCTGGGGTGAACGTCGGCCGTTGGACACAGGACACTGCCCAAGATCCAGCGGTGCTTTCTTCTTGGCTCTCAGATGTACCTTTGGATGAATGCCTGTCTTCGCGGAGGACGAGAGAACGTTGAGAAAAATCACACGAAGCACAGATTCCGGCGTGATGAAACGTGTTTTGTTTCTCTAAAACCAGAGATAAACGTCTGCGAGCAAATGGTTAAGGTTCAATTCCATGAAAACAAACCCAACAGGAGACCCCTATCTCAGATCGCTGGCATTACCTCGATAGCATCAGAGAACCTAAGACGATGTAAAATACAGATATTGTAAAGCCGTCTCAGCTCACACTGCAAGTTCAGCTGTAGGAGTTGGTTCTAATACTTTTTATCATTGATATTTATTTGATACTTTGTTTGCTACATGGTGTGTGTGGAGAAAAGCACTTCTATGAGAGGTGACCTTCATTCATTTATTTTTCAAATAAGCCTAGTTTGCGCCGTTAAATATGTTTTGATTTAGTTTAAAATGTGGAATTGGCCAGACTGCGGTCACTCTTCCTGCACAGAGTGACACACGAGGTGCGTTGGGATGTTAACCATCACTGGATTTTGCTGCTACATCAATAGGGTTCATGCACTTATTTTGTACTCGCTCATTAACTACTGGATTCTGTTTTTAACTAGAGTTCTTCACTGGACATTATTAAGGAAACCGAAGAGAGAGACTACATTATTACTCACTGACATTACATTTTGGACTGTATCTTTCATTCTTTTTTTTAAACTGCAGACGAGTAGATGCACTGGTGCTGCGTGTGTGTGTGTGTGTGTGTGTGTGTGTGTGTGTGTGTAAAAGGCTAAATAATTTGAAGGGGGGGAAAATGATGTGTTTATTGAATGACCAGATTTTTTTTTTACTTCTCCCCCAATTGGGGTCCTCTTATGAATCCTTCCTGCTAAAAATTATCAAGTACAAATGGAAGATTATACACACGGGTTGATATGAGGTAGCCTTTAGTTTATTAATTTACTCAGAAAGTGTTCGAAGCTTGGTTAAAAGTGTATGCTTTGAAAAAAAAAAGGGTATGTTTTGTTTTTTGTTTTCATAACCTTCCTTGCCACCCCCAAAAAGAGAGTGAGAGAGAGAAGAAACCTTAGCTCATTGTCTACTTTTGACAAACACTCAGGTGCCTACAATCACTGTAATATATTGAGATAATACTACATGTTCTTGGTTCATGTACAGATTCTGCCGGGTATCAAGTACGACTTGATTAAAGGTAGTAGATGTTCATGGCAAACTCTGTTTTGCACCTAATCTGACAAACAAGGGAACCGGCCGAAAGGTCTAACATGGCTCTTGCAGGGCTGCCCACACCAGTGCTCCTCGCCCTGCTCTTTGTCTGGATCGGGTAGCCTTCGCTCGTGTCAAACCAGGAGGATTTGGCCTTTTCATGTACTGATAGCTGTCACTTCACCTCAAAATGCAAATGGCCATCCGCATGAACGCAGAGAGGAACATGGTGATGGAGTGCTTGTGCACTACGAGCTCCGCAGTTTGAACCACCAGGCGCTGCATGGGAGAAAAGGGGCCTTTCTAGTTCCTTAAAGAGTTACAATTTCAGAAGCCCCGAGGGGCAGCTCTACCCGGTAGTCCTACCCTGTCGGTGGCAGCGAGTTTTGCTTCTGGTTTTGCTAACACCAAGATTGATGGCAGCACAGGTCACTGATCAGGAAGAACTCGCTGGGCCCAGTTGGCTCCCTGAGTGGAAGTGGGTGGGCATCTTCACGGACTTGGTACATCAACACCGGTGGCCAGCTGGACAGTCATCAAGCCATTGTGGGCGCTTTCACCAGGCCTAAGCTTAGTGAGTCGTGGTCCCAATGACCAGAGCACCAAAGGGGATTGAGTTCCTTATGTCCCATTTTTAGCAGTCTCATTTATTGTGCAACTTGGAACACATAGTTGAAAATCCTCACCAAAATAGGGACTCAGGTTGATGTATGGAAAACGAAGCAGATCCCCTGATCTTAACAACCGAACCTCGGCTCTGTCTCCCCATGGCCATGCTGGCATCCCCCAGCATTTCCTGTGTGTGACTGGTGTTGTTTGCTGACCGTGTGGATTGGTTCTGGGGGTTCAAGGAGGGGAAGCACTCCCCGCCCCCTTTTCCTTTTTATTCCTCTCTTCCAGCCACACGGGTTTGAACGGAGAAGTGGCATAGCTGCTAGGTTGACTGACTGTTCATAAAATCGGTTGGGTCTGAGGGAAAACATGCCTTTGAAAAAGAAGTACCTCAGGATAGCATCCTCTGTGGCCTCATCAAATTCCCTGGTGAAACGGACTCAACAGAGAATGTCATCCGTGTGCCCTTCGTGATAGGGCAGCACTACTGGCTGTTGGCATGCTGGAGTGCGGGCTTGCTCACTTCCTCTGCACGTGTGACCCAGTGGAGGACCAACTGACTGGCTCATAAACACAACATTGTTTCTTTCCAATTCAGATAAAAGGTATAATGAAGACTTTCATTTAAGTCCCTTATCGTAGTAGAATGGGAAAGGTTCATTTTGCAATTGTAACTCTAAATAAATATAGATTTTAGTGAAACGTGGCCTAGGTGATAGGAAGACTTGGAGAAAATCTCATTTTCATCACAAAATTAGGTGATGGTCCCTAAGCAGTATTTACACTGCAGCAATCTTTAATACGCCAGTTTAAAACCACCAGGTCTTAAAGGCATTTAGTGGATAAATACATGTAGCCTTGATACAAAGCTACACCTATCAAGATTCAAAGGAAAGTAAAACTAGAAAAATGAGTGGAAATCAGAACGAATAGGCCTTCTTAATACTCATTGAAGAGAGACTTGGGGAAGAAAAATAAACTGCAGTAATACAGTAAAAATACCGGCTAGTTGCAAACATTAAAGGTAACTAGCAAGAGCAATTAGCAATGTAACCAGGGCATTTTGAGTAAGTAAGCACAATTAGAATACTAAAAAGAATAGTGAGAATGCAGAACTACTTTTCAAACGAGGATTTTCATAATTAAAAAACAAAAAGCAATAATTTCCTTTGGCCTAAAATACACAGGGGCCCACAGGACCCTCTGAATCATCTTAAAAATCAACTCATGGATTAGCAGATCTCTTTCAAAATCTAGTTCTGCGTCAGCTAAAAGAAGTTTGAAGAACTTTAAGGAAAACAAGTTATTAAATAATTTTTAGGGACTCATTTAGGAATATTATACTTTATTTAGCCCAAGAAGTATAATAGTGATCTTCAAGAAAAGAGATTTTAACAGATGGTAGTTAAAGACTAGAATAAGAGAAAGTCTTTAGTATAAAGGATTTGTACTAGGAGGAATTTCTAACATTGAAATTGGCAACCGTAAGACATATTTGTTAAAATAATATTGGTGGTCTAAGCAGGAGTAAGTGGAAAGATACCATATGGTAATGTGTTATAATTCTGGGAATCCATAAGTCCATGATTCTTTACATTTTTTAAATGCTTTCATGGTACAATGTTTTGTCATAAACTATTTTTCCCCTTAAGACTAGGATACCAATACATTTTTTCCAAGGTATTTGGTTTAAAAAAAAGCAGAATTATCATGATTATTTTCCCCTGCTGATTTATGTTGTAACACATTTAAACTTATTCAGAATGTAGTGATTTTACTGTAAAAAGCCCCACAATTATCCCAGCCTGCAAAGCAAACATTCTCAGGAATAATTGGGAAACGGAAGGTACACATCCCTTTGGGGAAAATATCTCTCAAATCTTATCTTGAAAGGAGCCTCAGTCTACAATAGTTTCTTTTTCCATGCTTTGGGAAGTATTCTTGCACAGATACATCCTTCTGTTTCAGACAAGCAGGACTCGTGGATCAAAGAGACACCACAATGATTGAATGTGGCCCTTTCCTGACACACTCTCTTACAATCTTCTATGGCTCTCAAGGGGAAATTGTAAGATAGGAAGAGGAAGAAATGCAATATATTTTCTACTGGGATAAGAATGTCAAATTTAATGTATAATTCTCATCACCAGCCAGAAGACATAGTCTATTTCTCAGAAAGACACATTAGGGGGAACGTGGATTTCCCGTAAGCAGAGCTACCCTGGTTCAACCCAGGTGTGCCCAGTGCTCCAGGTTTGTATCGGTATTGTAGCTATTCAGTAGAACTAGATTTGAAGGAAACGCTAAGGATGCTAGTGTGTAAAATTCACAATTTTAAAACAGTGTGTGCCCTCCCAAGTTTCTTGTTTCAGTGCACAGTAAGGGTGATTTAAAATGGACTTTGTTTGTAAGATTGCAAAGAATTGACAAGGATATGCTTTCACATAAAGGTAATGCAGTTCTTTTTTAAAAAAAAAAAAAGACTGAACTGGTGTTATGCTAGCATGATCAGTGCTGATATCGACAAGCATTTTCTACTTTCATAGCCATTCCTGTAGACCCACAAACATATTTAACTCCCGGGAACTCTTTCCATGGTCGGTAACAATTCCCCCAGATGAGTTGTGTCTGCAGGTGTGTCGTGGTGTGTATTCCTTGCTGCCACTGTCCCTGCCAGAGCCCCCGGTGTCTTGCATTTATGGGCTGATCCTACTCTGTTAATTCCCAAAAGCTTTTATCTCAGGACCGCTTTCATTCCTGTTACATAAAGTACAACTGAAAACGACATTTAAACTTAAGATAGGTTCCCAAGTAAAGAGTTTTCCCCCAGAAATCATAATCTATTTAAGAAGCAGCAGCTGAGCAATTAACTGCTGTTAGTGTCAGGGTGTGAGTGTAAAATAAAAGTATGCAGTATAAACTGTTTGCATGAGATATTTCACTTCATGTAAGCTTTCCCATCCTTATAATAAGAACACTGTACAAGTCTTATTTCTCTTATGACCTTCTCTCCAGTAAGACTATGAGGAGATTGTTACCTATAGCCAGTCTCCTTTCCATATTGAAATGCATGGCTCTGATCCTCAGTGTATCTTTATCTCTTTGCTCTACAAGTTCTTTAAAATGTGCCCTATTTCAACGGTAACCTGGATAAACGCCTGAGCCAGTTGGTTTCTGAGACTGGAGTTAGGTTGCTATAGAGCACTGTAGGATACCTTTTGATTTGGAAAAAAAAAATTTTCAGAATTATTCTCTGATCATCATGGTTCTCTAAGGAAAGTGCTGAAAAGTCAGTCTGCTCCTTTTCAGTGTGAATTTTCTTTTACAAATACTTCAAAACAAGGATCGGAGAACTGCGCTGTAAAGGGAGATGCCATCATTTAGTCACCGAATGCTTATTCAGTGATGGTCATGGAGACCCAGGAGGAGTCACTCGGTTTGTTGTTTGGGTTCAGAGAGATGACTGTGAAGCAGATCTGAGAAAAAGTAAATCCTTTTTCAAGCATTGCCACAAAATGGTCTGACTGGTTTAAGGTCAATCAAGCAATTCTTTGGGGATCTTTTGTTACCTTTTGTAACTACTCTGTTTTTATTTGCATGGTTATGATGACCCCATACACCATTCTGATGTATTTCTTTCTCATCTGTCTAATGTGTGACCAACCCTGATTTGTTTGCTGTGTGATTATTATTGTTGCAATGACTCAGCTTTTCCTTACAGTTAATTGCCATTTTCTTGTTGCGCCTTTGGGGTGAATGATGCAAAGTGTTTCCACCTCGTGATGATACGGATGAAAACATGACTAAAGGACTGATCGAAAAGACTCTTTTGTTGCTAATTATTTTTAAAAATCCAAATATCAAGGGGAAATGATTTTCAAAGACATGGATTTGTTTTGAATGTCAAAATGTTCTTATGAATTTATTGTTGTTCTTCCTTCATTTTCTTAAGCTGTCGGCCATCCTAAGTAATGTCTCCGGGGGGATCCACATGCCATGTGCTTGTATGTATGTAATCTGATCGTGCGCTCAAATTGCTGGAAAAGGCACTCCAGTGCCAAGGAAATAACCGGAAGCCAATATGTCAATTCTTATGTCTTGGTTTATGTTACCACCCGAATACGGTATAATGCATAATTTTCCAGGAAATAAACTGGTTCTCTTTTGTTCATTTCACCTATGCTACTTTTTTTTTTTAAGTCTGTTTGAGCAGTTTCTCTGAATGTCGTTTTGACTGGTGTTCCCAAACAAGAAACGAGTGTATGAGTTTCTACATGGTGTGTGTTTCTCCAGAGCGAGTGTGTGTTCTCATTGGCAACAGAAGGCTTTGCTTGGATACCGTTTCTATGTTTTCTTGCTAAGAAACATGTAGCAATGCTGCCCATTTGTTCCATTTTTCACTTCTTGTCTTTGTAATCTTTACTCAGGAGATATTTTTTTGGCAGGAGGAGACACTTTGCTGAAGGAGATGAGAATCATCCAGAAAGTGCCTGTTCTAAGAAAAAGGGAACAGCATTCAAAAGAAAGAAGGATGACGATTGTTCTCTTTGGTATGAAGGACCAGTGGAGTTCCCGAAATCGGCAGGAGTTTATTACTAACAGTGAATCGGCTGCTTTGGGAGCCATCTACTTTGGCTCAGTTTTGATTTGGAAGTTTGAGGGAGAGGACTGGGCAGAATCTGGGTTTGTGGGAGGTTCCCATGTGGTGAAGCCTCTCATGCAATCCTCTTTACCACCAGTAGATCGACCTGTCCTGGGCAGGACAGCAGCGCTGGCTAAAGCCGTGTGCTTTACCTGTGACCGAAGAACCACCAGAAATAATGGTACGAACGTCTCTAGACATCTCTCCTATTTCTCTTCCAAAAGTTATGGTTACTCTTTGAGGTTCAAATGGTAAGTTCATTTGAGTCTTCAACCTCTCCTGCTCGATAAAGCTGATATATTGTCACATTTGAAAGCTAAAGAGAAGTGGACTGGCCTATGAAAGTATTGAGATGATCTCTTTTTATCACTTCATCTTGCTGTACTGACAACTTGGATAGCAGTGTCTGGGGCAATGTTCCTGCAACCCATTGCAGATGAGGAAGAGGCCAGAATGGATGGGAACTTGTCTGAAGGGATTTATTTACCTACCTTGTAATGTCACATGGAGTGACGTGTACATTGCAGGATTTGAGGTTGGGTGAGAATCTTACATTCTGGAGGAGTGGGTTCCTTGGCTTCTTGTCCTGTAGCAATTGTTAGCCTTCTTCCAGATGTCTTCTAAGAAATGCTACAGGGCAGGGAGCCAAAGAGCCCACAGTGCCAGCACAGCAGGAGACCAAGGAGAAAGCTTCTTAAGTGTAGGACCTTGTGACTATAGGAGGCATCCACCCATGAGAACTGGAATAAGTCAAGACCCCAGCCTGGGACCAAGCTCTCAGAAGCAGTGCTTGGTTTTTAGCAGAGTGGACTCCTCCATGTATTCATTTGGAGAAAGAAAAGATACCATGCTAATGCTCTTGAGGGAGGGTGGAAATAAGGTAAATGGTAATATGTGAGAATGATGAAGCTGAATCTTGCAAATGTTATCACAGTGCAACTCGTAACGTTCAACTCAAAAATTCGAAACTCTTACACTCATACCCAGCTAGATGATCAGAATCTCTAAAGGAGATTTTTAAAATATCAGCAGCAGATATTTTAATTCGTGTATATTAAAGTTCTGAGACCTTCATAATTTGACTTTCTCTAGGGCCATACATTATTCTTAATGTGTCAGATGTCAGAGGAAGGTTCACCTCACTAAAAGAACTATTAGTCCAAGATTAATAAGTGATTCCTATAAACTTGGCTTCAAAATACATCAAAGAGGAAATAAATTATTTACCTCACTGAAATCCTTTCACTTGGAAAATGTGGGCTTTTATTTCTTGATTCTGGTTTATGAAGTGGAATTGCATTCTATGTTTATAATATGTTCCCGAGGCTTTGTGGGGACCATAGCTCATGATGGTCCTTGTTAGGTGCCATCAGTTCAGTTCCGATCCGTGATGAGCCGGTCCACAGCAGAAGGAACACGGCTCAGCCCTGCATCATGCTCACAGTCATGCCTGTGCAGCCACTGTGCACTCCATCTCAGGGAGGCCCTTCCACTTTTTCACTGCCCCCTGCCTCACCAAGCACAGTGCCGTCCTCATCCAGGGATGGTCTCTCCTAACTACATGCCCAAGTGTGTGGGACAAAGTCTTGCCATCTTTGCCTCCAAGGAGCACTCTGGCCATTTGTCTTCTACGACAGACTTGCTTGTCCTCTTGGCACTCCGTAGTACTTTCAGTATTCTTCACCAGCACCACAATACAAAGGCAAACATTCTTTGGTCTTCCTTAATCAATGATTAGTAACATAAACAGTGTCTACCACACAATGATTAGTAACACACAGTAAACAGTCCAACTCTAAATAATAATCACTAGACAAACTGGATAGCCTCCCACATGCACACAATTCTGCATGCGAACGTACTAAACGTTTAGGCTTTGTCTTACACACTTTATTCCCCTTTGCTAATGTATTTAGAATGGAGCCCTGGTCATGTAGTTGGCCTGCTAACCACAAGGTCAGAAGTTCAAAACCACCAGCTCCTCTAAGAGGAACAGATGAGACTTTCTGCTCCTATTAAGACCGCTGGCCTCGGAAGCGACAAGGGCAGTGCTCATCAGTCCTGTAGTGTCTCTGAGCTGGAATGAAATCATTGGGAATGAGATTTAGGGTATTCATTAGCAGCATGGAGGCATGGCCGGGTTAGTGTTGAACTGCTAACTGCAAGAGGCCAGGTTAAAATCCCCCGGCTATTCTTCGAGGAAAGTCAAGGCTATCGATTCCTATAAAGACTTGCTGTCTTGGAAACCCTATAGAGGGTTGCCATGAGGCTGAATCAACTGGATGACAGTGGGTGAAAGTGAATTCAGAAAGGACATGCATTTTTTTTTTAGGACATGCATTTTAACTGACAAAAGTAACGCCTGTATTCTGGCAGGGACATGCTACTTCCATTTCAAAGTAAATGCCTACCCTAACCACAAAGGCATATATGTGACTTTTTTAACAGAGGGAAAAAAGCTGTTCACTCTAACAGCAAATGAGGAGTGCAAAAAGAAACTCCCTTTTGTCACAGATATCCACATCTTGCATGTGATAGAGGAGGCATTTCAATGCATTAACCCCCAAACCAGAAATGGCAAACGCTTGTCCACTCAATCTAGTACTTCTGAATTCCCACAACACAGAAATACATTTAGAGCATCAGAGGAATGCCCAACGCAGGAAAGGAACGAGTAGAGAAATTAAGGAGTTTTTCAGAACACCTTTTCGTGGTAATTAACTGTAGAATATGAGGGATTTTATGTAAGTATTGGTGTAGGTCTGAAAGTATTGCTCCTGGGACACCAGTTCATACGTGTGCGGGGTGGATTCCCAACAAAACCTGTCCAAACCCGTCTCTGACCAGTGGGTGGCTGCGACAAGTTCTCATCTCCCGGAGGTGCCTTCAGAACAGAGACTCATCAAAACGGGATCTGCTGGGCAGAGAGGTCAGCTCAGAAGGTGGTGCCAACTTGCATTCCCAAGGGGTTATCTTGATAAATTTTTTGGAAGACACGGGATGATCGTGGGGGTATTTGAGGAAGATGTTTTAAGAAAACAGAAAACTAATGGTGAACAAAAAGGCCACGGAAGTTATGTCAAGGTATCTGCACAGCGTTGTACTTGCTTTTCCTCCTGGGGTAGCAAGACCACCCTCCCCACTTGGAGAATTGTATTGGGAAATCCATCCACCCCATAGCCCTGACTTTGTACCTTCAGTGTTCTTTTTGTTCCCCTAAAGCAAAGACTGAAAAGAAACACGATTTGAGTCTCCCAGGGATGCCCGAACTAACTACTGCTTTGACATGGTTATAATTAGAGAAACATAGAATTTGGGGGGATGAGTTAGGAAGGAAGCACAATTTTCAGAGATGTATGGACCTAGAGAGAGGATATGTTGAGAAAGGATAGCTTTGCATTTTGATAGTTTTGTTTAATAAAGGTTCTACAATGTTTTAGCAATGCCCTTGTATCCAGTAAGTTACTGGTACCCTATATTTAAAAAGGGATAAAGAATCAGTGTATCTTAGTTATCTAGTGCTGCTGTCTCGGTACACTAACAATGGGTACTTTTAAGAAGGGGGGCTTTATTTTGTCACAGTAGAGGAGGCTGAAGTCCAAATTCAGGGAGCCTGCTTTAGGGCCGGCTTTTTCTGCCAGCCCTGGGGAAGAAAGGCCTTGTCAGTTCCCAGCTTCTTTCCTGACTCCTTGCTGATCGCCAGGGGGCGGTGCACCCATCTTTCCCCATCTCCGTTGACTTTTCCCTGCTTGCTTAATCTGCTTATTATAACATTCACAGAGCAAATCCCTGTTCTTACCTGGGATGATAACAGCAGGTTAGTAGGATTCATAACACTTATTTTTAGAAGACACAATTTTTTTTTT